GTCCGATGCCATGGTGCGCTTTAAAGATGATGATCAACACCTTGAAGCGCACCCGGAAGGCCACAGGCAGCCAATGCAGCTCGCGCAGCAGCGGTGTTACATGGGAGCGACAAGTCGCTCCCATCACCGCCCGCGCGGCCGCATTCTGGACTAGCTGGAGCCTCCGAGTGCTCCTCAAGGGGAGCCCCATGTAGAGAGCGTTACAGTAGTCCAAAAGAACTTAGCTCAGCTGTATCCGATGCAGGCAAACTAATGTGTCTTGCGAATGAAGTGAAAGATATTTTGTCCTTGACTTACGACCAGATCTGAGCCCAAATTTTCACATTTTACGACCTTTCTTGTCACCGTTGTTAATTGAATCCCTGCAGTTGTTAAATTAGTAACAAAGATCTTAAGTGCAGTCTGCCCTCCCCATTGGCTCTGCTTGTCAGAAGGTCATCAAAAGTAATCACATGATCCTGGGACACTGCAACCGTCATAAATATGAACCAGTTGCCACGTGTCTGAATTTTGATCACTTGACCATGGGGACGCTGCAATGGTCGTAAGTGTGAAAAACGGTCATAAGTCCCTTTTTAAAGTGCCCTTGTAACTTGGAATGGTCAGAAAATAAACTGTTGTAAGCTGAGGATTACCTGTACAAAGAAATCACTAGTGAGATCATTTCACCACACAGGATATACATTGCAAAAAATAGAGAAATCCCCTTATTGAACTAAATCCATTTGCTTATTTCACCATTAGTTCATCAGTGCACTGCGTGAAGGGAAGCAATGGGTCTAGTCCAGAAAGATATTCCTTCAAAATCGTATCTTAGAATTTAAGATAATGCTCTACATCACGGGTGTCAAACTTGCTGCGCCACATGATGTGTCGTGACGTATCGTGACTTTTTTCGCATTGCCGGAGCTGGGGTGGGCGTGGCCTCCGCATGATGCAACCAGCAGTTTGACCTCACTGCTCTACATGGGGCTATGTTTGAAGAGCATTCAGAAGCTTCAACTGGTGGCCCAGGTAATCTTTGGGCCCCCCTGCAGTGGTCCTTGTTACACCACTGCTCCACAAGCTCCACTGGTCAATTTGCTTCCGGGTGCAATTGAAGATCATTACCCATAAGCCTCTGCATGGCATGGATCCAGATTACTTGAGGAACCATCTCATACCAATGGAACAGGCCTACTCCACCTGGGCCAACAGAAGAGAGATGCTGCGGATCCTGTTAGTCAAGGAATTCCAGCTGGCGAGGTCCAGGAGAAGTATCACCTCTGCTCCATAATCTAGTCCCAAAGGTGCTTTTTCAAAAGTCAACTGGACATTCTCTGTTTTTCCTTGAAGACATTTCACTTCTCATCCAAGAAAATTCTTCAGTTCTGACTAATTGGTGGAGAACTGAAGAAGCTGAAGATGAGAAGCTGAAGATGAGAAGAACTGAAGATGAGAAGCAAAACATCTTCAAGGAAAAACAAAGAAAGTCCAGTTGTCTTTTGAAAAACCACCTTTGGGACAACCCGATCTGGGTGACTGAGAATCTCCATAGACATTATATAATCTAATTTGCTCCCTCAGTTATTCTTATGAAATGTTTATTGTACAACTTTATATAAATATGTCCGTGAATATATGTCCTGTTATGTTTTTGTTTTCTTTTTAGCTTTCTTTTTTTCCCTTGTGTAATTTTTCTATATTCTTTTTCTTTGTTTTTGTTTTTTTTGTATTTACCGTATTTTCCGGCGTATAAGACGACCCCCAACTTTTCCAGTTAAAATATAGAGTTTGAGCGAGAGAGAGGGGGAGGAGAGAAAACTTGATGAGTAGTATGCCAAACCACATGTGTAAAGGAATAAAATAGAATACCCGTATTTTCCGGCGTATAAGACGACTGGGCGTATAAAATGACCCCTGACTTTTGAGAAGATTTTCAGGGTTTAGAAAGTCGTCTTATGCGCCGGAAAATACGGTAGTTAATTTTTTAATAAGTGGGAAAAATTGTTCATTGTTCATATATTTGGTTGGGTGTTTCGCCGTGTAACAGAACTTTGCTCAGCATATGATCAAATTCCCAGTGTTAACAGGCAAAGAAATACCGAAAAAAAGCTTTTATTGCGGCTAAAATATGCCTAGTTTTTGAAGCTATTTGGATGGATAAGAATTTAGTCAATAGAGGAGCCAAATCATCTGGCTTAATGTTTATTCTACAGAAATATTTTTCTCAGTGTCGGATATTCTAGGTGTCTGTTTTAATGCTATCGGTTTGGAATGCAAAAGCTATACATTATTTATTTATTTATTTGTAAATTTGTAGGTTTATATTCCACTTTTCCTCCAGGAGTCCAGAGCAGCTTACATACCACACTTTTCTCTTGTTTTTCCCATAATAAATTGGGAATGTTTTTCCCAATGCGATAGGTTGAACTGAGAGAGAATGGCCATCCTACAGTCATCGACTTGACTTCCGTGAGTGAAGATAGACTAAAACCTGGGGCCATCCACTCCTAGTCAGACAACTTAATAGCACCTTGATGGTGTACTCTTTCTTGCTCTAACTGAAGACCATTTCTTACGATAAAAAAAAAATCCTCTGAAACACAATTTACAATTAAATGGAGAAGCAGAGAAGGGAGAAATCAATGAGAAATCCTACATCTCTAGAAGGAGAGAAAGTGACTTGAAGTTGCAGGGAACTTTTAATACAAAAAAGTCCAGGTTATAGAGCAGGGGTAGGCACCCTTGGCTGTTTTATGACTCGTGGAATTCTGGGAGTTGAAGTCCACGAGTCATAAAACAGCCAAGGTTGCTTACCCTGGTATAGAGTGTAGACACATATATATGCACCCACATTCTCCAGACTGCATCTTATATCAATACAATTTTTACCTTTCTGTTATTTGTTTTAGTCTGTCGAGACCCGTAGATGGGAATATGTGCAAAACCCCCATATAATGAGCTGTAGTAGAGTTTACTTCATTAGTTTTATTGCTTTGAATGACAGACGGATCTGTCTGAACATTTCAAATAATTGACCTTCCTTTAGATGCGTTTCCTTTAAAAAAAAAAAAAGTAATCCTTGACTGTCATGGAGCTGTAACAGTCATAAAGCAGGTCGTCACGTGACCAGCCATATTTTACAACCTCTTCTGCAGCCGTCATTGAAAGAACCACCATGGCTGTTAAGTGAAACCACAACCATTAAGTGAACTCATTGTTGGCTATGGAGTAGTTTTGCCAAAAGCTGGAAATAAATGCCTGTTTTGGGCAAAAACATCATAAATTAGGATCATGTGACCATCAGAACTTTGGAATTGAGTCGTAAGTACCTTCTGGGGGCTCGTAACTTCAAATGGCCATTAAAGTGACTAGTCATAAGCCAAGGACTCCCTGTGGGGAGTCCAGGCATCTACTTCTCCTAAAAAGATCTTAAAGCTATTGAGTATAACTGAGCCATCTGACTGTGTGTGTCTGTATTCATTCTATGATATTTCCATGTGCCTCTACCAAGATATTTAACCAATTAAGCATTCAGTTTTGAAAAAAAAGACCTTGGGAAAAGCACAACCTCAAGACTTTAAAACAAGAGACTGCCTATGTTCTTCAAGACTTTGAAATGCAGTTGTTAACAAATAGGCTACACACTGCTAAACAATCTTATGAGGGTAAACACAGGGATATTTGTTCCTTCAAGTGTAGAATGAGGCTAGACACCAACTTTTGGACTGGAGCAGAAAGCATTTATATTTGGGCGTTGACAGTACAGCAAATGGTACAACTGCAAACTAAATTTGACCACATAGATATAGCAGCATTTGTCTCTTCGTACTCTAGTTATCATCTATAGAAGTCTTTCTAAGCAAGGACATCATCATGTCCCGAATACCTTTCCGTGGGTTTTCTTCTAAATCTGTTTTTACAGCACCAAATTCTGCCAACTTCCATTCAAGATCTGAAACAACAGAATCTTTTCAGAGAAACGGAAAGAGAAGCCACAATAATACTAATGTGCATCACCTTGTATCACTAGTTACGCACACATTTGTGCAGATGTATCATTTCTCACATCTGATGGAACCTAGCATGGAATGCATAAGGTTGCCAGCTAGGACTAAGTACAGGAGTAGGCAACCTCGGCTCTTTTATGACTCGTGGACTTCAACTCCCAGAATTCCTGAGCCAGCATGGCTCAGCTTGGAAACCTCTCCCTTTCCCCTCAGCATGGCTGGCTCAGGAATTCTGGGAGTTGAAGTCCACGAGTCATAAAAGAGCCAAGGTTGCCTACCCCTGGACTAAGAGCTTAAATGAACCTTATGTTTGTTAGATTTATTACTATATACAGTATTTATTTCACCTTTTTACACACAACACAGCGTGCGGACATACCTAATTCTCCCGCCTCTTATTTTCCGCAACAGCAACCTTGTGAGGTAGATTGGACTGAGAGACTGGGACTGGCCCAGAGTCACCCAGCCAGCTTGCATGCACCGGGGAGGCCTCAAATTTTCAATCTCCTGGTTCAGCCCCTTAGCCATTACAAGTAGTCCTTGACTTACAACAGTTCATTTACTGACCGTCCGGAGTTACAACGGCACTGAAAAAAGGGGGTTATGACCATTTTTCAGATGGCCATTGCAGCATCCCCGTGGTCACATGATTAAAATCCAGGCACTTGGCAACTGACTCACATTTATGATGGTTACAGTCTCTCGGAATCATGCGATCCCCTTTCGCGACCTTCTGACAAGCAAAGTCAATGGGGAAGCCAGATTCACTTAACAACCGTGTTATTAACTTAATAATTGTAGAAGTTCACTTAAGAGTTGTTGCGAGAAAGGTTGTAAAATGACATAAGATTCACTTAACAAATGTCTCACTTAACAACAGCAATTTTGGGCTTAATTGTGGTCGTAAGTCGAGGACTACTTGTACAGGTACTCACTGTTTATATTCCACTGTTCCTCCAGGGATTCAAAGCAACTTACATGGAGATTTCTCTTTACATTTATCCCCACAACAGCAACTCTAGTTGTTGTGAAACTGACAGAGAGATTGGCTTGCCCCAAATCACCCAGTGAGCTTCTGTGACCATGAGTGGACTTGAACCCAGGTTTCTGTTTAACCACTACATCACACTGACTCTCTTTGTACAATCCTCTAATTCAACAATTTATTTAAATATATCTATAAATATATTACCTTCTACCGTAAGCGCTGTTCCGCCAAACTCCATAACTCCAATTAACTTGCCTTCAATTTTACCATCCTTATAGACAAATATTGTAGGCAAGCAATTATCATGATAGTTTTCAATACAGCTCTTGGCAATGGCTCTCACAAACTTAGTTTCTGGAAATTTTATGGCCAGTAGGCTGAGGTGTCTGTTAACCAACGCACACATTGGAATACTAAAGGAGGAGGAAAAGAATTTGATTATTAATCTCCAACAGAAATATATAATAATAATCTTTGTTATGATGTATCTGAAAATACTGGATTACTAGAAACTCTGTCAATTGCTTGTAAATCCATGTATGCAGTTTATAAATATGCCAGTCTGATTTCAGATGTCTTTTTGCTTTTTAGCAATAACCACTAGACTTATATACCACTTCATAATGCTTTACAGCCCTCTCTAAGCAGTTTACAGAGTCAGCATCTTGCCCCCAACACTCTGGGTCCCCATTTTACTAACCTCAGGAGTCTACCTTAAGCTGCTGGATCGAACTTCTGGCTGTGTGCAGAGTTAGCCTGCAATACCGCATTCTAACCACTACTCCACCACAGAGAAGCAGCATGTTTAAAAAATGCTCTTTTGCTCAACTATACTGCAGGTAATATCTATTATCCACATGAACCTGGCAGTGGTGGGATTCAAATATGTGAACAACCAGTTCTCTGTGTGGATGCCACTTCCGGAAGTCCGTTCTGGGCCTGGGCAACAAAAAATTAGCTGGTGCAAACTGGCTGAATCCCAGCACTGGAACCTTGTATATACAGAAATAGTTTTCCACAGAAACTATTTCCTCCAGTTAGAAATTGCTTCAGTGTTTCTCCAATGACACATAGCCACTTTTATTTCAGGTAACGTGTATTGGACTGTTTAAATTAAGTTGCACCCAATATTATATCAGTGACCCTGTAATGCAGGATCTTCCATCACTCTCTTCCCTGTATAAACATCTCTATGAAACCTAGTCTAGATCTTCTTAGGAGTGTCCTCCACCTCTCCAGATAAGATTTGGAGATCCACTAGAAAGTGAAATTGGGAGAACAGGGAATAAGTGTGTCCCATCACTGCATGCCTTTCTATTAGCAGAATATGCATCAGGGTGTGAAAAGACTTACCGTATTTACAGTATAAATGTTCTAACACACACACACACTTCTCTCTTACCTTGTGTTATACAGATGGATGACAACCCACACATCCTTTGGCGCATTTGTGACTTCCCGCACATATTGATCCCCAGAAATTTCATTCAGCTCTCCAAATTTTTGTCTCTTTTGTAGAGCTTTTAATTCTGCTAAGCGTTGCTTCCTAATTTAAGGGAAAGCTTTCATATCATAACCGTTAATAAAAGTGGGAAGAGAGAGACCATGAAAATACAGGGGTACGGTATCACACCCGTTCCTTGGAGATTTTCAGAGGTGAAGGTTGTAAACGGTGGGACTGCAAGAGAGTTCGAAAAGAGTGCAGTGATTGAACCATGTAGGGGAGAGATGGGGAAACTGAATCTGTTGCCTGGGCAACATGTAGCCCAGTGATGGCGAACCTTTTAGAGACTGCGTGCCCCAAAACCGCCCCGCCCACCCCCCTACTCCACCCCCTGCTCCACCCTGTTCGCCCACAGGGCCACCCACTGCTTCCATGGCTTGCTGCAGATTGCCCAGGCGACCCTGCAGCACCATGGCGGTCACACCCTCCGCCCGTGCCCCGCAGCATCATCTGCACGTGATGGGGCACGAGGGCGGAGTCTTGTCCCTGCTGCCCAGCTGCCATGTCCTTGGCTGCACTGCTCCGTGTGGACTGCGCCCGGGGGCGATTCTCCTCTGGGGGGCTGCTGGTGAGGTGGCCGTGGGGGAGGTGGGGCTGGGATGACAGCGCGTGTGCCCACAGAGAGGGCTCTGAGTGCCGCCTCTGGCACGCGTGCCATAGGTTCGCCACCACTGATGTAGCCCATCCATTCCTTTTCCAGTCCTTTCTAATCCAGTCCTACAAGTCCTCCCAAACAGCACCGAGTGGGGAAACACAGTTTTCAGTTCAAGAGGGGTCAGTTTTAAATAATAAACTCTGCCCATTAAAAGTGCCTTTTCAAAAGACAACTGGACTTGGTATTTCCTTGAAGACGTTTCACTTCTCATCCCAAGAAGCTTTTACAGTTCTGCTCATCCCTGCTTCTTGGATGAGAAGCGAAACGTCTTCAAGAAAAAAAAAAGAAATTAATTAAGAAAATGTATAATTTTTTTATTAACTTTAGAAATGGAAAGTGAACAGGTCAAAGAAACAGTGATAAGATGGGCAAAATTTTTTGGTTATAATATAGAATTAGAAAAATGGCAAAACTTACGGGAAAGAAACTGTACATGGACAACGTCAACTTCCTATAAAGAAAACTTATACAAAATGTTTTGTGCATGGCACTTGCCACCAGCGAGATTAGCAAAAATGTTTTAAAAATATGTCAGATAGATGTTGGAAATGTAAACATAAGTCAGGCACGTATTATCATGTTTGGTGGACATGTGATAAAGTAAACAAGTATTGGAAAAAGATGCATACTTGGCTAGAACAGATGTTAGGAGAACATGTTGATTTTAAACCTGAACTTTTTTTTATTAGGTATAATGCCAGAAAAGAAGACTAATAAACAAAGCTTATACTTGACTTTGCATGTCACGACAGCGGCAAGAATTATATTTGCGCAACACTGGGAAAATGAAGAAATACTATCAGAGGAAGAAATAATTAAAAAAAAGACTAGAATGCGCAGAGATGGACAGATTGACTAGGAGACTGAAAGAAAAAGAAGAAACGGACTACTATCAAACCTGGAATTTATTTTACCATTGGCTGGAGGAAAGAAGAAAGGATTAGAAGTTAAATATGTATTAGCATGTAAACTCAAGACAGCACGTTGGTTGAAAAATTACTATTGTATGTATGGAAAAAACGAATAAAAATCTTATATATTAAAAACAAACAAACAAAGAAAGTCCAGTTGCCTTTTGGGACAGCCATGACCTGGATGACTGAGAATCTCCATAGACATCTGCCCAGTAAACTTTGCAGGTATTTGAAACATACATTTCTCTCTTTAAATGCTCCTGATAAAGTAAGACATTTTTTTTCTCAGGGGTGTGTGTGCTGCTTTTAGGGCAAACCCCATGTCCTAAATATTCGCATCCCCATTTTCCTTAAAGCTTTCTTACTGTACTCTAGAACAGGGCTTTTCAACCAATGGTACGGGTACCACCTGTGGTACATTGGCACCTGGCAGGTGGTACGCGACCATCCTAGAAAAGTAGTGGGGGAGGGGAATGAGCTGAACTGGTGGCAGCACCGCCCAAGCCTGAGCGAGAGATGGCTGGAGCTGCAGGGCTGTCAGGGCTCAGCGGAAGCACCACGATCAGTGCCAGGATCCAGCTGGAGCTCGGCGCTGATCCTGGTGCTTCTGCTGAGCCCAGAAGCGCCGATCAGCTGGAATGTTGCAGCATCTCCAGGGTCTTGTGATTTACATTCAGATGCTTGGCAACTGATTCATATTTATGACGGTCACAGTGTCCCAGGGTCATGTGAAGTGACCAAAACCTGCTGCAACCACCCAGCAGACGGAGGGAATAAAAACCAAACACTCCCACTCCCACCCTCACAACAATGAAAACCTCGGACAGGAGGAAGAGCGCCACTGCGTGGGCAGGCAGGCGTCTTGCTCGGCTGTGGCTTGGGGGGCACTTTTTTCAGTGCCATTGTAACTTCGAACAGTCACTAAGCGAACTGTTGTAAGTCGAGGACTACCTGTACTTTATCACTTTTTTCCTTTTTTCTTTTTTTTTTGGTCATCAACTTTTTGACACCTTGCTAGGCAACTGGTGGTACTCGGATGTTGCCATATCCTAAAAGTGGTACAATGGGTGAAAAGGTTGAAAAGCCCTGCTCAAGAGAACAGTAGGTATCACTAAATTTGAACAAACAGATACATTATTTAGATGGGGATTTGGTGAAAATTGATTTTTTTAAAGTAGGAGCTGTAGATGGCGCCAGATGCTTAGATATTAGTCCAAGAACGATTCTTCCGTGTAACATTTAAAAGTTGAGGTGATGATGATGATATGTTTATTGATAGGGAAATATCTATTTCCCCATACTGGAGACTTTGCATCTGTTCCTTAGAATTTGACATACCTGTACATTTCAACAGCTTTTAACTCTTCCTCATCAAAATCATCCTCAACTTCTTTCAGTTGTTTCAGATTCATTTTTTCATAAGGTTTCACTAGAAAAAGGAAGGGAGAGAAACAGTGGTTTTAATCTAACCAACAGCTAGAAGAAAATGCCCCAGTTAAAATATTTCTGGGAAAGAAGTGGATAATAAATCAAACCTTTTTTCCCCCTTGAGATTCAAAAGGAAAATTGGATTAAATCCATGCCAAAGACCTCCCCTTTAAATCTCATTTCAGAAGTCACTTATGAAATGGCCTCTGCAGGCGAAATTACTATTTTTCCAGCTTTGAATCTCAGCTCTCTTCTGTGAAATAATAATAATAAAGTTGGAAGGGACCTTGGAGGTCATCGAGTCCAACCCCCTGCCCAGGCAGGAACCCTACACCATTTCAGACAAACGGCTGTCCAGTCTCTTCTTAAAAACTTCCAGTGTTGGACCATTCACCACTTCTGGAGGCAGGTTGTTCCACTGGTTAATTGTTCTAACTGTCAGGAAGTTTCTCCTTAGTTCTAGGTTGCTTCTCTCCTTGATTAGTTTCCATCCGTTGCTTCTTGTCCTGCCTTCAGGCGCCTTGGAGAATAGCTTGACTCCCTCTTCTTTGTGGCAGCCCCTGAGATATTGGAACACTGCTATCATGTCCCCCCTCGTCCTTCTCTTCATTAAACTAGACATACCCAATTCCAGCAACCGTTCCTTATATGTTTTAGCCTCCAGTCCCCTAATCATCTTTGTTGCTCTTCTCTGTACTCTTTCTAGAGTCTCAACATCTAGTCAATTCAGTGAAGTCCTGAGGTGAAATGGCCCATGGTTGAAAGGCTGCGTGGTGGAGGAATGTTGGGCCATGTATGAGAAGCTTTAGATTCAAATGTTCTCCCTCTTAAAGATCCACTTTCCTATTGGGGACATTAGCTCTCCTTTATCTATAGCAGGGATCTTCAAACTTGGCAACTTTAAGACTTGTGGACTTCAACTCCCAGAATTCCTCCGCCAGCCAGGGCTGATCTATAGGCTTCTGTTGTGAATGTCAGAAGGAAAGAGCATTGTTCGCACTTCTTTGCGCAAGTCGAGAAAAAAAATATCATTGAATATAGAGCAGAATGAAAAGATCCATGCTTCTTATTTGCAATTCATTTTGAAACAATAATCAATGTTACTGAAGATAATTTAAAGTACTGGAAGAGAATATTGAGTATATGTGCATATAAATAAAAGCAAATGAGTACCATGTATATAATTTCCTACTAGGAGTTAGGTAATTTATATATCTGTGTACGAATTTCTTGTTTGGAGGACTCAACTCTCAACTCTCAATTTCCCTCTGTGCTATCTCTAACTGAACCTTCAATGAAAGCAGTGGTTACAGAAATTCCATCTATGGCAGGGCTTTTCAACCTTTTCACTCCTTGTACCACTTTTAGGATATGGCAACATCCAAGTACCACCAGTCGCCTAGCAAGGTGCCAAAAATTTGATGACCCCCCCCCAAAAAAGAAAGAAAAAAAGTGATAAAGTACAGGTAGTTCTCGACTTACAACAGTTCGCTTAGTGACTGTTTGAAGTTACAATGGCACTGAAAAAAGTGCCCCCCAAACCACAGCCGAGCAAGACACCTGCCTGCCCACCCGGCCGCGCTCTTCCTCCTGTCTGAGGTTTTCATTGTTGTGAGCGTTTCTGTTGAGGATTGGCAGCGGGGGTGGGGTGGGGGTGTTTGGTTTTTATTCCCCCCGTCTGCTGGGTGGTTGCAGCAGGTTTTGGTCACTTCACATGAGCCTGGGACACTGTGACCCTCATAAATATGAATCAGTTGCCAAGCATCTGAATGTAAATCACAAGATCCTGGAGATGCTGCAATATTCCAGCTGATTGGCGCTTCTTCTGGGCTCAGCAGAAGCGCCAGGATCAGCGCCGAGCTCCAGCTGGATCCTGGCACTGATCCTGGTGCTTCTGCTGAGCCCTGACAGCCCTGCAGCTCCAGCCATCTCTCACTCAGGCTTGTGCAGCTCATTCCCCTCCCCCGCTACCACTTTTCTAGGATGGTCGCGTACCACCTGCCAGGTGCCAATGTACCACAGGTGGTACCCGTACCACTGGTTGA